TAAACTCCCGTTTTCATGCATCTCCGCCATCTCACGACTGCAGAGGCTCGCCCATCCCGCCAAAGGTGACGCTCTTGATCGTGAGGAACTCGTCAATTCCGTACTTACTTCCTTCGCGGCCAAATCCGCTCTGCTTGACACCACCGAATCTGATACAGGTTAGCTCGCATACTTCAAACAATCCGGGGGGCACAACGGAATACTTACGGAGAGGCAACATCACTAATGATACCCGTGTTCACACCAACCATGCCGACCTCCATAGCCTCAGCAACACGGAAGATCCGCTTGACGTTGCCGCTGAAGAAATAGCCCGCTAGACCAACCTCGGCGCTGTTTGCCAGGTCCACGACCTCCTTCTCCGTCTCGAAGGGGAACAGTCCAGCCACAGGACCGAAAGTCTCTTCCGAAGCAATGCGCATGTCCTTCGTCATGTTGGCCAGAACGGTGAGGTTGTAGAAGTTCGGGCCCAGCTCGGGCACCTTCTGGCCACCGACAAGAACGTTCGCGCCCTTGGACACGGCATCATTCACATGCTCCTCAACCTTGTCGACGGCACGCTCATGGATGACAGGTCCGTGAGTGATACCCTCTCCAAAGCCGGCTCCGAGCTTGAAGGCCTTGACCTTCTCGGCAAAGCGCTTGCAGAATTCGTCGTAGATACCGCGCTGCACATAGATGCGGTTGGCACACACGCAGGTCTGACCCGAGCTACGGAACTTGGAGACCACGGCACCCGCAACTGCGGCATCGAGATCCTCCACGTCGTCGAACACGATGAAAGGGGCGTTTCCACCCAACTCCCACGACACCTTCTTCACAGTGGATGAGGCCTGCTTCATGAGCAGTCTGCCCACATTGGTTGAGCCGGTAAACGAGACCTTGCGCACTTCAGGGTGAGTGGTGATGACCTCGCCCACCTCGGGCGTGTTCTTCAGAGCAGGGACAATGTTGATAACACCCTTGGGGATACCGGCGCGATGGGCCAGCTCCGCGAGCGCGTTTGCGGTGAATGGCGTCTCGCCAGGGGTCTTACAGACCACGGTGCAACCGGCTGCGAGCGCAGGCCCGATCTTCCGTGTGATCATTGCAGCGGGGAAGTTCCATGGAGTGATCAGACCGCAAACACCCACGGGTTGCTTAAGTGTCATGACTCTGTTGCCCGGTACCGACGAAGGAATGGTGTCGCCATATATGCGGGGAGCTTCCTCGCTGAACCATTCGAAGAAGCCCGCGGCGTAGTTCACCTCACCTTTGGCGTCTGCGAAGGGCTTTCCGTTCTCCCATGTGATCAGTTTTGCCAGGTCATCGGCGTTGTCCATCATCAACTGGTACCAGCGGCGGAGCATGCGAGAACGTTCGCGGGCGAGAGTCGAGCGGAAGGCGGGGAAGGCCTCTGTGGCAGCTTGGATGGCCTTTTCGGTGTCTGCAGCGTTGAACTCAGGGCAAGTTCCAATTAGTTTGCCGGAAGCGGGGTCTATAGGTGAGGATATTCAGTAAGATCAATTGGATTGGGTGGGAAACGGAAGGCTCTATTGCTACTTACCGTGGACCTCAAAGGTCTGCCCAGACTGGGCGTCCACCCACTCTCCATTGACATAAGCCTTCTCAATGAAGAGAGACTGGTCTTTGAGCTGGTACAGTGTAGTCATCAGCGCCTGGTTTTGACCTAGAGGGGCACAGCTAACTGAGGATAGAATAGAACTCACCGGAGGTACAGTGTGACCCATTGTGTATAGTCTCTGGGCGTAGATGGGGGAAGGAACAGCAAAGGGGTATCGAAGTCGCGATTTTAACAATTGCCGAGTGAGAGGACGAGCGATTCTGTCCATGATTGTGGAAAGGGCCCACTGATATAGTGGCTTCTAGGTTGGTGGGTTTGGAAATTCGCTGATAAAGCCGCGTTCTGGTCTCCGTATTTCTTTACTGATTGCGGGGACGCCTCGGGATGAAGAACGAACAAAGTGAAGATAAGACGAGCGGCCAGAAAAGATTCTGAGCGAGCGATGGGGTCACTATATAGTCGGGAGAATCAGGAGCTGCCCCAATATTTGGTTCTGACATGGAGAGTGTATCTATGGGGCTGGAATAATAATTGGTAATGGTAATAATCAACCTGGAGGAGCTTCTTCGCCGTCCCGCGGGGGGGAAAGATAGCGATGCGTCACGTGGATCGACGTCATCCGGCGCTCTCTGCGGCCGGCATCAGGGGTGTTTTCTTAGATTGGTGGATATAGTTATAGTTATATTAATCCATGAGTCCATTAAACCTGCCTCAGTTCAACCCTTTCTTCCATGAAGGCACATCGACAGCCGTGTCTTCAAGGTGATATGATAAAACCGAAGTTAATATACATCATGATAGATGGTATTGTATTGTATCGTTCCCATTGCTTCGGCATGCCGACCATGACCGCGGCAATTTCAGCCAATAGGACATCATGCCGGGAAGAGACTCGGGACTTTTGGCCAATGGGAGTCCCCTGAACCTCCGTTGATTGTAGTACATATTGTTCTGTACATGACCTGACCTGACCCATACTATCGAAGATACCTGGCTAGCACCCCAATGTCTCTTACTCTAGCTGGTACTTTAAGTACTACCTATTTTGGAAGTATTATTTCAGGATCCAACAGCAAATGCCTTAAATCAAGTCAGATTCATTCCCTATGTAGGGAGGAGGTGAGTATCTATAGATCTAGTCTCGCAAAATTCATTCAGTCGTGGCTGATCTCGTCGTCTGGCCCAATAACAGCAGGGGACTTGTTTCCACTCCTCGGCACATACTTAGGGTGCATACGTTTCATATGGAGATTGAGATTCCACCGGCGTGAAAACCCTTTAGCGTGTCGCGAGCAAGATCGTAGAGGACATGTCAGGTCGCTTTTGCCTTGCTCAGCCTGCCCTTTTGGTTGGGCCCCTCCTTCAGGGCCAGTACTCGTAAGCCGGGAAACAGATCTCTTCTTTGTCGAATGTGCGCGGGAGCGAGGCTTCTTCTTTGGTGGAGGCGGTGGAGAAGGTGAAGATACCAGGTCTTGTGGGGATTCAGAATCGTTCTCTGCATACTCCCAGGCGCGCGAGTCTTCGTTTCGCACGGACCGCAGCTTGCCCTCTCGGAATGTCTGGAATGCCATGTCTTCCCCGAACAGCGCGGCACATCGTTGCGCGGTACGCATTACTACAGTGGGAGGCAAACCCACCATGGATGCAACTCCAACTACCTCACTCCAATCTCGAAGGCCAAGGCGAAAATTACTGCTCGGTCGTTTAGAATCGCTACCCACCGAGCGGCCTCTCGATCGGGAGGAATTGGCCCTGCTGGATGCAAATGATTTTTGGGAGCGTCCACTTGTCGACATACCATGCGTAGATGACTTTCGAATGCGTTTCCTGCCTCGGGACTGGCTCCCCCTAGACTCTTCGGACATCGCCCTCCCTTCTTTCCATCTGGAAGCCGACGAGCCTGACGCAATGCTGGCGGTGTCGGACTGCCACTCGCTTGCGGAACTGTCATCGGGCGCCACTCCGGCTTTACGGCCATGATGAAGGCCCATAAGAAGCCGGTCTAAATCCGTGATGATGTTTCGAGTAATCGGGAGGAGTTGTTTGTGTGATTGACTGTCATCAGCCTGGACGACTGGTCTTAAAGAAGCTTGCTCGACGTCAGAATCGGGGTCACTTTTCATGTCTGGCTCCGCAGCGCTTTCTTCCTGTGTACCCGGATGTGGCGCAATCGCCCCTTTTTGTTGGGGTGTAGATCGCACGACATGCCAATCCCGAGCGTTGAACATTTCCTTCGCTCTCTTGACAAGTACGGCAGTAACAGATTCCTCCAAGTCAGCACTTGGTCGAGGATCTGGGTGCATCCTGAGGGTCCATATCTCGTCGTCTTGGCGAAGTTCGTTTCTTCGGGGGACCTCATTTGGAGGCACTGGCCATGCAGCCCATCTTTTAGGCGGAAGAAAGGTCTCTAAGTCATTTCTTTGGTCTTTCATATCCGCTGCTTGTCTTGCAATTTCGCGCGCCCGAACTCGTAGAACATGTGCATTGTAAAGGTGTGCCGCAAGGTCTCTGGCTCTGATATCTTCCAGAGCCTGAGCATTCTGTCTGTCTTCCGCGGTGAGCGTTCGCCATGTGGTCTCCGGTCCGCGGAACCGATTGGGGCGATAAGAAGGCGACATTGACGGACTACCCAGATTTCTTTGGTTTGTGGTAGTCGTGGCTGATGTGCTATTTCTCTTCTGGGATTCATATCGCGTGCTCCGGGGTTTAAAGCTATCTTCTGATCCCGTATCTTCGTCGTCGTATCCATTAAACGTATCATCGTCAGAGGGGTCGATCTCTAACGGGAAATCTCGCATGAAGACATCATCCTCATCCTCATCTTCATCAATATCCGCGCCTCGCGGTATCTCGGATTCCGACTCAAATCCGGTAACATCTTGGCTGCTAGAACCTCCAAATATGGATGTATATGGCTGTGCAGATTGAGGAGGTGCAAATTGTGAAGAGCCCAGGTTGGACATTCCGGGGCTGGGATTTTCTTACCCCAAGATGTCCCGCAAAAATCCGTCAAATCTGATCGTTTTCTAGCAGCTTATGGTGCTTCTGTATACATGACAAGACTGCGCAATGGAGTAAAAAGATGTGTTTGGTTTCGCAAAATACACATGCCCAAATTGAATGTTTCTCGTGACACAAAAGACTGTCTCAGGATGTCTGAGTAATCTGAAGGAACCAGTCCTGGAGAAAGGAGAATATTGAAGCTTGGAGGAGAATGAGAGGAAGTTAGATGTATCCAACAGAGGCCAGGAAAAAAATGATATCACGTGACCTTATCGATATCACATCAATCAAATAATAAGGGACTTCCGGCAGAACCTTGAAAACAACGGTAGGAAACGGCAGGCACTCTTTCCAATAGGTAGGTAGGGCTACGACTATTCTCCCTTACATCTATTTGGAAAAATCACCTTGAAGGTGAAAAAATAAAAACATACGACAAGGGCAGGATTCGAACCTGCGCACACGAATGTATTCGATATCGGTCGTTCGAGTCGAACCCCTTAACCACTCGGGCACCTTGCCTGGTTTATGTAATATGGCCAGTAATCGGACTCTGTCAGTCATAGATGCTTGAGAGGAGATGAAGCTTTTCGACGAGTATGCCTATATTCTCTGTTCAAATCTCCTTGACTACCCTATTGTGTCATTTTACGTCTTGACCAGAATATCTCATATCTATTATTTTGTCACAATATTCAACTTTTGCTAACGCCTAATACCTACTACCGTCCCTATTTCTCCGCACCCTTCTCAATCTTTCTGCGCTTGGACCGCAACTTGGCCGACTCATCAGACTGTTTCTTGTTCGAGTACATCATCTTCTCGAGCAGCTTGCGCTTCTTCCGGCTCATCATCATCTTTTGTCTATCCAACTCTTCTTCTTCCTTGCGCTTCTTCGCGGCAACCTTCTTGGCCTGCGAGGATTTCTTCTTCTTGGAATCATCATTCGCGCCGTTGGAGGAGAAGGGGAGACCAGCAGCCTCGGCCTCAAGCTCCTTCTGATGCTGTGTCCGGGCGACTTCCTCCTCGTCTTCCGACTGGGAGGCATTGTCGTCTTCCAATGGACTAGCATCTTCCTCCTCGCTCTCCTCCTCATCCTCCTCCTCACTCTCGCTGTCGTCATCGCTGTTCGCAATATCCATGCCACCATCAACAGACTCATCATCTTCAGCCTCGGATTCATCCTTAGCCGCAACCTTCTTGGCAGCGGGGGCTTCCTCCATCTCTTCATCACTCTCTTCTTTCTCTTCTTCATCGGCGGCAATCTCGGCCTCGCCTTCTTCCTCCTGTTCAGCAAGAGTGGCACGAGGATCGTAGGCACCCTTGGTAGCCTTGACCCACGGACTCAAGTGGGGAGGCAAAGTCTCTCCAGGCGCGTAAAGGTCAGGTCGCAGGAGCTTCCCTTCATTGATGCAGTCCCATACCCATTGAGGCTGAATGTACGTTCTACCAGGGATACGAGTGCCAGGCTTGACCTTTTGGGTCGCACCGTCGTCACCGTTCTCTGCAGCTGCGGGGATGGCAGGAAGAGAGGATTCGGGAAGTGTGGGACGGTCCACAATCTGATGAGTGATGCGAGGGTCCGCTTCGTTGTGGGTAAAGGCACCGTCTCCGAGGATCGTATCCCAACCAATTCGCTTGCACCCGAAAGCGCGCAACATGAATTCCAAAGGAGCCTTGGGGGCCTCCCGCGAGATGTAGAATGTGAATGGGGCAAAGAGGGATCCGGCCTCTTCACCGCTGATATCAGGCTGAGGCAATGTATCAGCCTCGGGAGCGGTAGGCTCGAACTTGTCGATGGCCTCTGTGGATTCCTCGGTTGCCTCTGTAGGCTGCTCTGGTTTCGTTTTATCCAAACCAGCAGACTTGATCACCTTGTCGACCTTTGCCTGGACTTCACTAGACACCTCCTGGTTTGTCAAGCTATTTGTCTGCTTGTTTCCGGTTCCAATGGCCTTGGGGGCGTCCGCGACGGCACGACCCTCAAGGGTGAAAGCCGCCAATTCCGCACCGTTCTCATCGCTGCGCTTGTCGAACTTGGGGGGGTATCTCAAACCAAGAGAGGAGTACAGGCGGAAGTTGACGAATCCTAGAAGGGTAGTGTAGAGTTCGACAAAGGTGGCCATGATACGATAATCAACGTCGCCGTTCACACGTTGAACGAAACGGTATGGCACAAGCCACATTATATCCTGACCTTGAATGGTCGCCTGGTAGTAGATACCCTTGATGGAAAGGAACGACTTCCGCAGCGAGTTGGTCGTGATCAGATAGTGCTGGAACTCGTGAGTAACGCGCTGGCAGAGAGCAATGGTCTTGGGGGGAACGTGAGTAGTAGAAGGAAGGTTGGCAAAAAGGAAGAGGAGAGACAAAGCATCGTCGAGATCCCTCAAAGCGTCGATGAAAGTAGGGTAGCGCTCCTTGATGATATGGTCCAAAGTGAGCTGGGGCGCATGGTTTTTCTCGATACGGGATGCATCGCCAACTTCTCCACGACCAAGAGAGCGCGCGATTTTTTTGGCGACGGCTTTTTGATCACGGAACTTCGCAAGGAGGGGCTCATGCAGCAAGTACTGGATATCCTTCGTGTAATAGAAGGTCGTGTTCTGAGTCGCAGTTTTCGAGGCCTTCTTCTTGTTACGGGGCTCACGAGGGTAAATGCCTATGTTTTGGTTCCAAAGTTAGGACCAGACATGATTGCGCACCAATAGAGAGAAACATACCCTTGAAGATGCATAGCCGACGGAAATCAGGCAGAGAGATCTGAAGCTTGCGGACCGCCTGGGTTCGAGTGATATAGTTTTTGGCCTGGCCAGAGGTACCTGGAAGTTGTCAGTCCATGATCGTTGCGCTGTTTTAAAAAGATGATATAGAAAGTGGAAAGCATGCGCAACAAATACATACCCTTCTTCTTAATTTTACCCATGATGGAGGATGCGATGCACGGAGAGTGGTGAAGGTGTTGAAGGAGGAAATGCGGAAAGGGCAATCTCGATCACTCGAAAATTTGTTGTCGATAAGTTTTTTTTTTTTTTTTTTTCTTCCGCGGCGGTAAGGATGGTCCGTGCGTGGCCGAAAAGGGAAATGCGCGGAGGTGGTCTTGGCGTGGTGGAAGAACAGCTGGAGCATCATTACATCTACCTACTACTATTGATGTTGCTGTACCCTCTCCTCGTGCCGAGTGACCCCATCGACCATCATGGCTGTGGATAGGAAGGCAGCTGTCTTCCTGGCTGCCCATGCCTTGCGACTTCTTCTGGCCCTTTTTTTCCCTTCCTTGCCAAATCTGTTGACAGGGCGTGTGGAAGTGTCCACCCCAATTACCAGCTTCAAGAGACGTGAGTGTTTCATTGAATTGAATAGACGACACCTTACTCTTACACAACATGTCGCTGAATGTTTTGTCTAGTCCAGGAAGGCCTCTATCTCTATCAGCGAAATGTTTCCCCCTATGACGGGGGCGTCTACCATCAGGTACTAACTCAGAACACATGGACGTTGCGACTCATTCTTATACTGATGCATTGAAACTAGGCGCCTATCCTTCTTCCTCTATTTTCCCTCCTCCCTAATGCCAATATGTCACCTTTGATAACGGCTATCTTCTTTTCACTCGTGGACCTTGTTAATGCCGACGCATTGATCACCATAGCCGACTCAGGGCAGGCAGTTTCGGGAAGATTTTACACAGCGTTACGGAAGCATATTCGATGGGATGGGTTGTCAATCGCAGCATGGTAAATATCTGTCCAACTGCAGTGTAGGTATCTTGTCACTGACTCATCAGGTTTCTCTTCAATCCCTTCACCATCGCAACGTGCCTCGGCCGATCAACGGCAGTCTTCACGACAACGGGAATCCTGTATGCCATGTCCAACGCCGTGAGTGGAAATAGCTTAAATGCAATGCTCGCGTTGGGTTTCGCCTCGTATCTTTCGATATATCCCGCCCTCCTGTTCATCCCGCTTGTACTTCTCTGCTATGACCAACGTGCACAAAAACCGACCCCTCCCGGGATGGCCTCGTTCGCTATCAAACACTTCATGATATTCCTATTCAGCATTGCTGGTCTACTTGGGGTGTCTAGCTTGATCGTCGATGATTTTCCTCAATTCGTCTCCGCGACTTATGGATTTCAATTGCTGGTACCCGACCTTACCCCCAATGTTGGCCTTTGGTGGTACTTCTTCATTGAGATCTTCGACTCCTTCCGGGAGTTCTTCCTTGGGGTTTTCTGGCTCCATCTTGCAGCATACGTCGGTGGAATGACCGTGCGGATACGCCGACAACCGTTGTTCGTTCTCACCTCCCTATTAGGAATCTTTGCTATCTTCAAACCTTATCCGAGCATCTCCGACGCATCTCTGTATTTTGCGCTCCTCCCTCTCTACCGACACCTTTTCCCATGTAAGTATGACCGCATTCTTAACCCCGAACATGACTGATTGCAGACAGTGATGCGCTATACCTTTTTTGCCATTTCTGCGATCCTCTATGCCACTCTTCTAGGGCCGGCATTTTATTACCTCTGGATCTATGCAGGTTCCGGAAACGCCAATTTTTTCTATGCAATCACCCTCGTGTGGAGCTTGGGTCTGTCGATCCTCCTGGCAGACATTATCTTTGCCGCTCTCCGAGACGAGTGGGAATACGACAACCCCGAAATACGGGGCAAAGATGTTAGACAAGTATAATAAATATTCTGATACCATCCATCAAATATAAAACCAAACGAGAACTTCAATGGCACCACACAAACTCTCTATTTTTTAATCCCCCGTACAGTCATTCATCCCGCAATCCCCGCGACATAATCCAGTAGTCCACATCTACGACAGTCCCATTTCGTAGCGTCCGCGGCCTCGGCGAATACTCATCCACCACATACCCCAGCTTGCTATACAGCCGACCGGCCTTCGCATTGGACTTGAATACCGTCAACATGGCCTTCTCCACCCCCACCCGTTTACCCAAGTCGGCAAACTTCGTCATCAACAGCCCTCCCAACCCTCGCCCCTGCGCACTCGGCACCAAGTGAATCTCATAACAGTACACAACCTCCTTCCCATCTTCATACGTAACCATAAAAGAAAGAAACCCTTTGAACTCCCCCACCGTCCGGCCGTCCTCTTCTTCCCCTGTTGCGTCGTAGCGGCCAGAAACCTGCCGCAATATTATATATTTCATATCCGGCAGGCGCATCTCCTTCCGCTTTTTGGCCGGGGACCACCCGAAGCCGGAGCTGGCGTAAGCGGCTGACTGCGTTTGTTCGATGAGTTTAAAGCATGCTTCGAAGTCTGCGGCCGGGATGGTCTTCGCGGTGTAGATATCGAGCTTGTAGCTTGATGCGGGTTCTTGTTTTTCACCCGGGGACTCAGTCGTAGATATTGTGGGGATTACTGTGCGGGCGTGTGGTGGGATGTATAGTGCGATGAATTCTGAGCAGGGGAGTTTGTTGACTCGCTCTACTAGTGGGAGGGGTTTATTATCTAGGATGAGTTAGGGATCTGTTCAATAAAAAA